GCGCGCGGGTCGCGCGCGCGACGGCGGGCGCGGCGGCCGCGCGTCGTCGAGCTTCCGCCGCAGCTTCTCCATCTCCCAGTCGAAGCCCTCCTGGGCCTTCTCGTCCTCCCAGGCCGTCATCCACTCGTCCATGAGCGCCTTCTCCACGAGCTCCCGCTCCTTCTCTTCCTTCGTGTGGACCACATCCGCCTTCTTCTCCATGACGGACCGCGCCACGCGCCGCGGCGCCAGCGGCGACACCGCGGGCGCCATGAAGGGCCGCACGGACAGCAGCTGGCACACGACCAGCGCCAGCCACCGGCCGGCCCGCGCCGGCGCGACCATCGCGGCACCGACGAGCAGCTTGAGCACCGGCTGGGGATGCGCCTCCGCTTCAAGGCGTGTCCCTCGCGAGCTCGAGGCGCGCGCGCGCCCAAGGCCGACGGAGAGCCTACCGAGCGTCGACCGGGCCGTCGGCGCGCGGGCCGCGGCGAGATGAGATAAGATGCGGCGCACTTGCAAGTGCGCAAGCGACGGCACGCGCTAACGCTGATTTCGCCGTCGCTCGAGCGCCTCGCTTCGCGCCGACACGTCAAGTCAAGCCCCTTGGAACACTGGCATACTAGTACGAGGACACTACTACGTAGTATGTTTTCCCGATTACGCCCGCCCGCGGTGTCTCGCGCGGGGTCCGCCGCCGCGCCCGCCCCTCTTTTGAGCGCGCGCGCTACGCGTCGTAGTCGCCGTTGGTCATCTCCTCGGCGAAGCGCACGGCGGTGCCGAGCTTCGCGAGCGTCGTGATCAAGCCCGCGACCTCGACGCGCGCGAGCGGCTTGGAGCTCGTGTCGCCGTAGATGATGCGCATGGCCGTCGCGATGCCGAGCCAGGCGACCTTGCCGTGCAAACGGCAGGCGCCGCACTGGACGCAGTCCATCGCGCGGAGCATCGCGCGGCTCCGCTGGCGCATCTGCCAGATGCCCGTCTCGTCGACGAACTCGTCGCCCGACTCGTCGTCCGTCGCGAGCACGCACTCCGTCGCCATGACCGCGCCCTCGCGCAGGAGTGGCGCCATCTTCGACAGCGCCGGCTCGTCGAGGAGCGACGCGGACACCAAGGTCCGCACCTTGTCCCGGAGCTCCCCGTCCAACGCCGCGTCGCCGGGCTCGAACGCGTAGGACCCCAGCGCCCCCCGGGCCTCGCGCAGGGCCGTCAGCACGAGCGAGAAGGCGAAGTTGAGGTTCCGCAGGCGCTCCGGGTGCGCCTCCGGCTGGAGCCGCCGCCGGAACTCCGCGAGGCACTCGTCGTCGTCCTCCGAGAAGTCGTCGACGACGTGGCACGCGATGGACGCGTGCATGCCCGAGATGGACCGGTCGAAGACGGCGCGCCAGCCGTTCTCGTCGTCCTCGGGGCAGATGCCGCCGATGCAGGTCCTCCGCGCCTTCGTCGAGCCCGCGAAGGACAGGTTGTCGTAGATGAACCGCCAGACGTGGCTCCCGTCGTAGGCCGTGTAGCCCTCGGGGTAGGCCTCGAGGTCGTAGTAGTCCTCGCTCGGCAGGTCGAAGCGCGCCCAGGCGTCGAGCTCGAAGGTCCGCTCGCCGCCGTCGCGCTCGAGCAGGTCCAGCGGCGCGGGCTCCTCGGGGAGCACCTCGCACGCGTCGAACTCGCACTCGTCGACCGCGCCGCCGATGTAGGCGCAGTTCGCGAGCATGTCGATGCTGTAGAGGCTGAAGAACTTGAAGGACCGCAGCTCCTCGAGGTTGCTCAGGACCTAAGCGAACAGTTGGTCGTTCGGTTTCGTAAAACGGGAAGCG